CTCTTTGTAGTATGTCAAAGTTTAAAATAGGAACTTAAGTTCCTTAAGTTTTTTCCTTAAGCTTTAGCAAAGGTTTTGCCCGTGAATGCAGTACAGGAATGTGGGAGTTAACAAATAAGTTCTTCCTACTTTAGCGGGGCCTTTGGTCCTTTTTAGCTGTGAATGTAGAGTGTCTGATGAAGCAGAAGCAGTGTGGTTAGAAGGAAATACAAGGTGGTGGGAGAAGATCAGTTTCTAGCACATTTTCAACAAACTTGTTTTATGTGGGGTTTTTTGCTTGCAGATCTCTGGCGATTGCAGTTTCTTCTGCCCTTTGTCAGCCTGGGCCTCATGTGCTTTGGGGCTCTGATTGGGCTCTGTGCTTGTGCCTGCCGCAGCCTTTACCCTGCCATTGCCACTGGAGTCCTTCATTTCCTAGCAGGTAGGTCTGCCATCCACCACTTACCCTCCCTCCTCCAGATGCATATCGTGACAGCCAGAGCACTTCAGCGGTGAGCTCATTGTGCTTTACTGCTTCCTTCCCCAGGACTTTGTACGCTGGGCCTGGTTGGCTGCTATGTAGCTGGGATTGAGCTGCTCCATAAGAAGCTGCCCCTGCCTGATGATGTGAGGGGTGAATTTGGCTGGTCCTTCTGCCTAGCCTGTGTCTCGGCACCTTTGCAGTTTATGGCAGCTGCTCTTTTCATCTGGGCAGCTCGTACCAACAGAAAGGAATTTACTCTCTTAAAAGCGTACCGTGTAGCATAAGTGCTGCTACTAAAGTATTGGGTTTCCATGTCATAGCCTCTTCTCCCCCCAACCCTTACTACTTTTTTCTTTTAGTCAGAATTTTACTTTGTACTGCATGCTTCTTGCTAGTTGAGACAATTTAGCTTGCAGGCCCTGAAGACAAAGACCTCTGGGCTAAATGACCAAACTCTGCCAGAAGTCTGCAGAACTTGAACGGGTTTTTAATTTTTTTTAAGGTTTATTATTATCTTTTTTTAAGCTTCATTTGGTTGTTGAATATCCCCTTAGTTAGGTGTACATGCCCCTTCTTAATTTTATTACCCTGTCAGCCTGGAGGAAATAGGAGTGGTGTTGTGGACGAGAGATAGGAAAAGAAAAGATGCAGGTAGGCAAGAATGGGGACCTCAGTGCACAAACAATAAATAATCAGGAGCTGTCTGCTGTGTGACTCAAGCAGGCAGTACCTACAGAGAGCACCCAAGAGAGATGGGGGAACTCAAACCTCTGTTACGGAAATACTGTAGCTAAATCAGTCCTGCAGCTTTGCTTTGGGTCTCTTACTCTCACTAGTTTGCTACTTGTTGTGGCTTCTGCCAGAACTGATGCAGGCAGAGCAGCCGGCTGTGGGAGTGCCTGCCTAGCACACTGTCCTAAAGTAGACTCTGTGCTCATGTTCACCAAGGAATGGGAGAAGTTGGCCTACGTGGAGCCTTGTGCTGCTCTAGCTACACTGCTTCCAGGACCCAGGCTAGTTTGGCATCTGCACTGCATGTGGTTGTGCACTCTAATCTTAACGTGTGGTGTTTTTGCTTGCTGTGAAATAAGGCTTTCCTCTCTCTCGTGTTGAAAAAGACCCTTCACGAGTTTTTGGGGTTTTTTGGTTTTAACTTGGTTTAGTGTATGTGTGTATATGTACATATATAAACTTAACTTTTTTAAAGCTCACCTATTTATCCTATGTAGCACACAACAGGGTTTTTTTTTTTTTAAAAGGTGCTGCTCTCTTCCCATCTTGCCCCAAACCTATTGTTTAAATGAAATAATAAAAAAAAGCTCAGAAGTTTTCAGCGTGGCATGAATCTAATGGGAGGGTGAGGGAATGGTCTGAAGTGAATTTTACTTGAGGAAAGAAAAGCCTATGTCTACATTGTTCTGTTTTCAGGGAAATATCACCAGAAACAAAGATGTTTGGTTAGATTTTTTTTTTTAATCAAATTCTTGGGCTCCTGTGAACTTCAAATTTTTTCCTGCTCATCATTGGAGGGTGCAGCACCTCATAACTTCTAATTAGTTCACAGCTTCTGAGTGTATTTCTTTTAAATCACTGCAACTCTAGCCAGACCAGGTGGCATGTCTTACCTAGAAAAACAATATTCCAGTTGTTTAGTTCTGAGGCCTTAACTCCCCTTGTTTCCTTACTCCATGCTCAATAGAAGAAATATGGCTTAGAAGAAATAAATCCTGAAAAAAATTAGGAAGTCTGTGATGGCAAGGGTTCTGTGAAATACTATTGATGAGAATGACACAGAAATAAGCTTTTTTCTTAGAGCTGTTTTTTTATTTCATTTTGTGCTTTTTTTTTTTTTTTTTTGGTGGTGCTTCTACTGATGTTCTCTTTGCTGGGTCAGCAAACAGCCCTAATCAAAAGTTCCCTGAAGATCAAGGATATCTGCTAGTATTGTGTCTTTGTTTTTTATCATGTGTGTGATGGGGATCAACCTACTTCTTTTATTATCATCATTGGAGTCTTTACAAAATTAAACCAGGACAATGATTAAAACCAAGATCACTGAAAAAGCAGCAGCAGGCTGTTCAAGATAATCCTCTTTCTCTTGCTGTTGAGTAATTTAATTTTTCAACTTTCCTCCTAAAGTAGCTTCTTTCCCTCTCTACAATGTCTGGGCCAATTCTAACCCTGTGAGAGAGGATGTGGTACTTTTGTGCACTATCTGAGAATAAAGAAAATCTGTGATGCTGATATGTACTGATACAGTGCTTTTTCAGAGTCATTAGTTATCTCTGACTTAGGTAGATAAGGCCTAACTGCTCAGCTTGTCGTCTTCCTCATTTGTCAGAATTACTAGGGCATGCAAGCCTCAGGTCAGGTCAGGAGGACTGGAAGGTGATATTCTGCACTTTGAGAGGAAACGCATGTTATTTTATCTAGTACAGTTTGGGGTTTTTTTTCTTTTTTTTTCAGGAGCTGGCAGAGTAATCGTATCTTGTGATTTTAATCTGAGCAATGGGAATCCTGTGTGCTTGCTCTCTCCTCTTGTATCAGACATCTATTCTGAAGTATAAATCTCAGTTTTCAAATGTTAACATTCTTGCTTCCAAAAAGAGGATTGTTATAGAGAGAAAAGGGAATGTTAGAGGTGCTGTCAGTCCTTTCTTGATCATTTTAAGTATCAGCAAAACCAAGATCGCCTGCTTTTGTCTGTGTCTCAGAAAAACGCTGCTGGATTTCTCTGCCCTGAAATCAAGAAAACGGCCTTTTAATTGATCCTTGATTTGGACCATTTAACTATAATGAGGGTCACCTTTCAGGGTTGGGGTTTTTTTTCCTTAACTCCTGTGCAAAGATTTCTTCACTAGAATGGGTTTCAGTGAGAAGCAGATTTCATACAGAAAGATGACTACCCCTCTCTGTCTGGGGTGATGAATCTGCATGTAGTTGTCTTGCTTTGTAACTGTGTGCTTTGCTCAAGGTGTAAAGGGAGCAAGAAGAGTTCTTGGATTGCTGGCTTGGGTCCACTAAATGGTGTTGGAGGAGGACAGAAAAATAGAGTAGACACTGAGGATGGAGTAATTCTATAAAAGAGAGATGTTTAAGCACACTTAACAGGTACTGACACACATCTTGACCCAGAGTGTGTGGTACAGGCCCTTCACACCGGCAGTTCCTCGTGCCACATTCAGAGGTTGGCTGCGTTCAAGAGAAGCTTGAGCCCTGTGTGCATGTTTGTGATCACATATGTATATGCAAATACAGACACCATTGCTCAAAAAATCTAAGAGTGTTCCAACTCTGGAAGAAAGTGGTGAGATCAAAGGCTGATTTGTGTTCCTCACTATTTTGTGGTCTGACCACGGGAGATGTTTCTTGATACCAGTTCAGTGTTGGAGATAGGGATGAGGGGGGATGAGGCAGATACACACAGTGAGATGAAAAGAAGGGATGTCCTTGTGTGTCTGTGTGCACAGGGGAAATGGCACGCACCTCTAACACTGTTACATGGGCCAGTGCAAGTGAAGGCAAGGTACATCAAAGGAAGAGGAGAAACCAAAGAGGAGGAGGACAAATCCCATCAAACTGAGCGTGAGAACCGAGGATGCTTGAGACTGCATGGACACAAGCACACAGGACTGTGGCATGAACTCCCAATGTGGTACTGTGTAGTCAGCACAGCAAAGGCCACCTGCTGCTCCTCCACCACCACTACCTTCCTGCCCACCTGTGGCACCGTCACAGTGGTGGCATAAGTAAGTGGGTGAACTCTCTTGTGTTTATGAGAAGCCTGTAAAGGTTCTGTCCCCTGAATCCGAGGTGGGCAAGCTGCATTTGTCCTTCAAACATGCCCTTGTGAGAATGTTTCTTCTTCACAGGCTTGGGCTCGTTTACCTGCCAACACTGTGGAACCACGAGGAAAGCAGGACTAGCAGAAAGCTGCACCAAGCAATAAAGTGTTTAGTCTAGGTAGCAGCTTTTTCTGACTTTCTTTTTTTTTGCCTCAAAACGACATTTTCCCTGTCCTCTCCCCTGGCTCCAAACAACTCTGAGAAGGGGCTGGTTAATGTAGCTGCAAAGAGGCATTTTATTATTGTGGCTTTAAAGACTGCTCCCACAGGTATTGCAGGAAGGATTCCTAAAACCAGGAGAATAGTCAATCCCATTTCCTTACTTTAAAAAAAAGCATTATAGAGCAGACACAAAAAATTGCTTTCTTGTGTAAAGGGAACATTTTGCCACTTACGAAAGGAATAACATGTTGTGGGTGCAAGTGATGATAGCATGGTCTCGTATGGCCTAAGAGGCCCTTATAATCTGTTGTTGTAGCAGAAACTAGGTGTGGTGGTCTGGTTTTCCTTCTGGATTGTGTGCTGGCCAGGTGGTTCTTTCCTCATGGAAGGTCTGTTGCAGTCTTTTTGCTATGGTGATAATAAATGCCTCCTCTCCCCTCATTTAAAATGTTCTGAAGTGTATTTTGAGAAAGGTGTTTGGTTTTTATTTTTTTTCTGTTCTTTGTCACATGGTTGGTGCCAAGTTATGTACCAACTTGTGGTCTCTCATGCAGTGCTGTCTTAGTTCTGTGATTCAAGGCAATGACTTCTGAAAAGCTCTTTCCTGCTCACTAGCATTGTGTGTATTCAGCCAGCACCTGCTATTCAAAGAGAAATTCTGAAATGTCAGCAGCTTGTCATCATTCTATCTTGGGCTGACTGCCCACCTCTATCTGTGTGTATTTTCTACTTGAGTAGATCGCGTATCTCAACAGAGAGAGGATGACATCTTGAAGCTGCTTTTTTTTTTTTTTTTTTGGTCCCTCCCATTTCCTCAGAAATAGCTAGAGTCTTGTGCTATAGAGCTTTTTTATAACCTGGTTTCTAATAGGAAATGATCAAAACTTTGCCTGTTTACTACTAACTCTTCTATTGCTGTAGAATATGCCTTATATTTTTAAACTACAGCTTTCAGAACTACAGGGTGTAAAGTGAAGCCTTTGTTCAATTATGGTTCAGATACATGACAATTGAAGAATGGATAGTCCATATCTGGAAGACTGTATAGGTGACAGCCTATACAGCTGTATGCAAAATTACATTTAACAAGCACTTCTCTTGAAGTGAGCTATATCAGTATATAGCTGATATAGCCAAACCTTTATACAAACCAATGACTGCTGAAAAAAACCCTGACAGCAATAATGTATACCAGCCCTGTCTCTTCTTTTCCCTTCTAAAATTACTACTTTTAAAAATAACCATAGGGACAGTGTTTTATTTATTGATCAGGTTAGAGCATTGAGTGTCAGTTGTCTCTGTGCTTCCTGCTTTCTGTGTACAGACAAGGGTGAAGGAGATGGTAATTAATTTTTGCAGCGGATCCAAACATCTTTCTAGATTTGGCTTTTCTGAACTGAAGATCGAAAATTTTCGAGACAACTAGAACCTCTTGTTTAATCAAAATTAATTATTGCTTAATCAAAACTGTCCTAAGAAAAAAGGTTAGTGGATTTTTTAATAGCCTTCTATCTTTTTCCATATTTCTCATGTCTTCCATCTGCATCTTTTGAAGTGTTTCTTACATTAAATGGTTTTAGAATATTATCTTTTTTACCTTGAGGTTTGCAAAGAAGATGATCTGGTGTATTTTGTATCAGTATCTGAGATGAGGAGACCCTTGCATACGTAACGTTTTAGTGGACCTATCCATTACACTTGTAACTTGGGCTAGCTTTCAATACCAGGAATGGATATTTTGAAAAAGTTGGAGTACCTATTAAAAATAAGATTGATCCAAACATGCTTAATAGCCTTTCAAAAAATAATTAATGAAGGGACTGTTTCCAGAGCACTCTATTAGCAAGGACTCCTCCTGTCCAATGTTATGACCTACCATGTGTCTGGGCCTTTACAGTCAGGCCTTTTTCCATTCAGCTTCCACAGCTGAATACATGTGAGTATATTTTGTCACACATTAACTTGATTGAGCTGTGGTTGAGGACCATTCCTGGTTGTAACTTCAGCTTTTATCATCCTCATGATAAAAGAGTTACGCTACAATGCCTCTATTGTTAGAAGGATGGAAAAGCCTTGAGAAGCAGCAGTACATGGTTTCCTTGTGGAAGAACCATCCTCTGTTTGGCTCTGCCTGGAGGAACCAAGGCAGACCCTTCCTGGCAGAGGGAGTGTAGCTCTTTGCCAGCGCCCCATCATGTTTCCATACCCATAAGCTCAGCAGTGGAGGCTCACGTTAGCTGTGTCAGTATCGGGTGCCCTTTGTGCCATGTCGGGTGAGTCTGACTGGAGCCTTTCCCAGGAGTGTCCAACCATGATATGCCATGAGTGTACGCGGGCTGAGCTACTGAACCAGTACTGCACTGAATAATGGTGCTTTTCCTTCCTCTGAGGCCAAGTACAGCTTGTACCTTTAGCTAATTTCATTCTTTGGGAGATTTCTCTACAGAGCCTGGTAGCTGACGCTGTTGGCTAAGTGACAATGGCAATACCTTTTTACACTAAATGGTTTCTATGTGAATTCACTGAGAAACCTTGCTCGTTATCAGAGGATTTGCCTGTAACAAACACCTAAAGAGGATCAAAGCTGACCACCTGATATGTTTACAATGTTGTTGATGTAATCGTTGATTGAACTCACCAGTTAATCACCAAACTGATGTGTGTTTTGGACCATGGCTGAATGAGACCAGGAGCGTCCTGGAGTGGCAGTGCAGAGCAGGTGCTAATTTTCTGCGATGCCTCAGCTCTGCCAGAGCCTGCCTTCCTATGGGCAGCACGGATAGCAGATGCTGGAGAACTGGTTCCACAGCCTCTCCAAATCCTTCCTGGGTCTCAGCCCTGCACTGTACCATGCTCCCTTACCACTGGAGATTCCCTAATCTGAACAAACTACGTGTGCGGGTGATTTTTGTGATCCCTGTGACATTGCTCAAGTGACTTTTCCAACCCTTGTTAAATTGCTTTGGTTAAGAAAAGGGTGGGGTTCGTCTTTACCAGAAAGAAGTTCTACTTTCTGCGTGCATTCTGGGGCTGTGGCAATAGGTTTTTTGCAAACAAGTCCCTTTTGTCTCGCACTCAGTGACCTATTTAACTAGCTAGTCTTGACTTGCATTTTGATGTTTACTTCCACACAAAACAACAGCAGCAGTGGCATAAAACCACAGCATCTGCCCAGTGCTAGAACTGCTTGGGTTCTCTAAAGGTCTTTGAGTTCTGGAAAGTAATTAACTGCCCACAAATGAGGAGGGCATCTCGAAGGGTGTCAGTAGTGGGATGTATCAGCTGTGTGAGGGACAGCATGGACAATACTCTCTGATTTCCCCCGTGGGCCTGGGGTTGAAGAGGAGCCTGTAGCAGCCAGGGCTGTCCTCTATGATGAGCTCAAGGAAGTGTGTAGTGTTACGGGGAGAGAAAGGCAAACCTGTTATGGAGCAGACAGGTGTATTTTACCTCCAGCCAACTCTGAGCTGACAGGAGTGGTATCATGCAGGCAATAGACTTGTTACTACCCTTCTGTGTCTCCTTGCTTCCTTCTCCCAGCTCTTACACCAATTCTCCCCTCTCCATTCTCCCTCTTTCATAGCCTCTTTTACCACAATAAATAAACTAGCTATGCACTTCAGGGGCACGTTGGGCCATACTCGGAGGACCTTAAGTCTGTCCACATCCCTGTTACGCACCCAGTTTGGGTGCGTCTGGAAGCCTAAAGCCAGTTAGTTGGAAACGCTAGGCACATGAACATTTATTAGGGCATGTATGGCCCCGGAGGCCTTTAAAGCACAAGTGCCCTTTTTAACATGGCCTGGATGCTGTTGGCTCCGCTCTGCCAGGTGCTCGCTTTTATGGTTTAAATTTTCTGCATCCAGTGTTTACAGAATGAGAAATAAGACCTTAATTTGCAGTAAAAGATTTCCGTAGTACAGTCTGGGCTAAAGAAGCCCTTGTTCTTGCCAGCTGTCTGCTGCTGTTACGCTCCCTACCCTGGGTCATCTTCACCCCAGGAGATGCCAGTAGGGAGCTGACAACTTCTTGCTGTGCAGGCATTGTTTGTGTTCAACAAGCTGGCAAAGAAACAGGGATCAACTGATTGAGCAGTAAAGACAACCCCTGTGGTGCTATCATGCGCAATGTAAAGGTCAGGTCTATAGGTAGACAATTTGTGGGGAATTTTTCCCTCCATTTTTCAGGGGCTTTATCATAGATTCAGCTCAGGTTTTTCCTTTATTGCCAGTAATTTTTAGATTAACTGCTAGAGTTTCTAAAAAATACGGGAGTCACCCTTGCCTTCTTACTGAAAAGGAAGATTTTTTTCAACAAAGATGTTGCTAATTTCAAGCTCCCTGACCCAAGGAAAAATCCTGAGAATTACTTGAGGCAGTGAGAAGTAAGTGGGACAAAGAAAGTCACCAATAATGAAGATTCATTTCAGGCAAAGGTAATGTTTTCTGTAGGTTTCCTATTCTGGGATGTAGTAACTTGGGAGATGCAGGAAAGAATTGTTCTTTTTCACTTGACCGTGTTCAGCCTTAGCTGATGTTGTGTGTGGAAGCTGTAGATAGTTGGGGGTATCCCAAGAGGAGTGAACAGCACCTCTAGGAGGTTTAGAAACCATAACCTACGAGATAGGGAGGCAGTGAAGCCATCATGTAGAAGGAAGGACTCTTTGGGTGAGGCAGATAATGTTTTTTACAAAAGGAATTGGTACAGACAATGGCTAGTAGTTCTCCACATCTGCTGGTGACAGGACAAGATGTAACCTATTTATTTTGTAGTAAAGGAGAACTAAGGTGATGCACAGAAAAAAAATCTTGGTCTAGGCATGCTTGATCCTGTTATATTCCTTGTTCAAGCCATCTTCAGGAAAAATTCCACCTACCCAAGGGCTGATCTGCTGAGTGTTATCAGGAGATACCATTTCTGAGGGACTTTCTTGGCTTATTCTGTCACAGAATTTATGAAATACAAATGCCGAAAAAGGTAATTGAGCATGGACCCTCAAATGAGTGTTGTAAAATTCGGTGAAGATCCAGCTACTTGTTTTACCTGAGACACTAGCTCAAGATGTGTTCCAAAAAGTGACTTGCATAGACTTCCCTAAAATTTTCGTTTATTGTATTTGTTTGAGGTATATTTAGTTTGGGGCTTGTTAAATCTAGTTTCTAAGTGAGACAAGCCTGAGGATACGTGATATCTACGTATTTATGATTATTGTCACTACAGCCTTTAGAATCTATTGGTTGGGTCAAGCCAGAGTTGCTGAAATACTGTTTCTTCCAAGTTTCCTGTGAAGAGGCTTCAACAGAGGACAGGGACTCTGTTAGTGCCTCCAATGAAGGAAGCATCACCATCTGAGTGCTTACTAAACAGAATAGTCCTTTCTCTAGATTACAGTTCACAATCATCTTACCCTTTTTTTTCTTAATCATTGGTGTCATTATTACACAATGAATGAGAGGTATTACATACTGGGACTTCTTTAGGTGATTTTGCAGTGACATGTATTGGGACTTTGCTTTTCCTGATTTTAGGACAAACAAAAGACCAGCCTTGAAATCCTGCCGACACTGGAGTGATGCCGTGCAGATCTGGTCTGTAAAATTCAGTCACATGCACATACGCGCATATATATATATATATATGCATGCGCACATATGTAACTGTTTTGAACCTTGGTGCAGCATTTTAAGTTAGTCACTTAGTGTAAGGAAGCATCACCTACTGATTCACTCTTCACAATATATCATCTCACATTAGATTCCTGTCCCATTTACAGCGTTTCCTGTAGGGGTGAAATGAGGCTACAGGTCCCTATTGTTTTTTAGCCCAGAATTGCTCTCTTTTAAGCATTGATGAATTAGTTCCTATGGTGTCATGTTAAAAAAGTGTCATAAATAGGAGAATAAGAGCAGATGTTTGATAAGCAGTGAGACTTCTTTTGATGTTTGTTACGCTGAGTTGGGCTGAAATGCAAGTGATCAAGGGAAAGCATCAAAAATAAGAGATGACTGAGAACTGGACAAAAGCAAGGTTTGGAAAATAAGCCTGAACTGCAACTGATAAAGCTGATGTTCCTTCTGGCCTTGCAGGAAAGAAGGTAGCTTCATGTTAGTGATATGTATGTTTGAAGATAGTATTCTTCTTGAGCTTGTTCACACAGAAGTACTCTTCAGCTGGTTCCCCAAAAGCTTCTTTGAAATTTGCCTCTGAAAATGAGTTTAGTTAAGCAAGATTTCTTCATTGTTACTGATTTCTAAAACAGAATTATCTTTCAAATATGAAATAATTTGTTTCTCGTCACACTTTTTTTTTCTAACAATAGATTCTGCCCTATCTGAATTCATCGTGTCTTATCAGAGGTGCTCCAATCTTGAGCTCCCCTTTGTTCTCTGTGTCTCTATTTTTTAAGTAAGGTTCTTGCTAGCTTACAAATGGCTTCTCTCAGATGAATTCTTTGAACTTTTTCTAGCTCAATTTATTGAACACTTCTTCTCATAGTGACACAATT